CATCTAAAAGTTTGTCTTTGCCCACCTATCTCTGTGTAAAGGTATTTGTGTCCTAAAGCACCTGTGTGTGTAAAAGTATCTCATGCAGGCACCTTCCAGACGCTGCCGAGAGACTACCAAGACATCACCGAGACACCCCGGAGACACCACCAAAACACCACAGAGACACCACCGAGACACCAAGATTGCCAAGGAGATTGCCAAGCAGATTGCCAATCTTGATTGCCATCAAGACACCATAGACATCACGGAGACACCACAGAACTCCACAAACACACCACCAAGACACCACAGAAACACCACCAAGACACCACTGACACAACTAAGGCCAAAAACACCAAGGGACCACCGATACCATTGAGACACCACGACGGCACCACCGAGAGACCACCAACCACCAAGGCAACCCCGAGATGCAAGCGAGACACCTCCGAAACATCACCGAGACACTAGCAAGACACCACCGAGACACCACTGAGACATCACTGAGACGCCTCCGAGACGCCACTGGAAGTCACTGGGACCGAGACACCGCCCAGGCTGGCAGCCGTGAACCCGACGGTGCGCGTCCGCCTTTAGAGTTTACAACCCCAAGCTATCGCTAGTGGGGAAAACCCGACGGTGCCCGTCCGCCTTTAGAGTTAACAACCCCAAGCTGCTGGAGGAATTTTTGAGCTGTCGAATTGTTATCTTGAATCATCGGCTGGCGGAATCATCGTTTATCCTGGGTGCTATGTTAATCTCTTTCTCATTCGCTAGTCACATCACCACGGTCTTGAGAACATCACCACAGTGTTGAGAAGTGCCTCCAACATCTCGGTCTAGAATCATGTCCACAGCTAATGCATCGGCTGCATCAACAGTAAGAAATGATTTAGCCATTCAGGGCCCTTCAGATCAAGTCCCACCCAGTTGGCGGAAAATGCCTGAGAGTGAGTCCAGTTTTCGTTGTGAAGATGACCAGCAGTGCGCAACTCCTCAATTGACAGCGTAGGCATTAAGTTCACCGTAGATGCCTCAATTTCCGCACTTTCCCACCTTTCGACCTTGCACGCCTTAAAAAAAAACAATCGATAAGGAGCCGCCTGTCAAGTGATGCGTGCGCTTTTCAAATCGAAAGTAGCAGTAAAATAAGAAGTAAGACCTGTTTATGGATTTAACGTAGGGTTGGTGATACCAACAAGCTATTTGTAATTGAGGAGTTGGAAAGGTTGACAACTGCTAACATGGCGAAGCACCTCTCAGTCAGACCTTATATAATAATTATTGAAAACCGATCAAGTCATCTTATAACTTTTAACACACAACACATTTCAATCATACCTTCCAACTGGTTGCTTTCAACCTTCCAACCTTCCAACCAAGTGAGTTGACATCTTCCATGTAAAAGTACTTTGATGCCCCCGCTTGTCCTCCACCAACAGTTCGTCTTCAACAGATCTTGCTGACCTTGCACGAAGTTGACTTTGTGGATAACTAGAAGCGGGAACTGCTGAGGAGGAGGCACTGTAGGTACTGAAGTCCCGCTTTCTGGAACCTCACGCCAAAGGACTGTCTCAGTTCGGATTGAATCTGCCAAAGAAATGTCAGCAAGTCTGTAATCTTGGGCTCCAAACCCAGGTGTTCTGGATACCTTCGCACTGGATGGATTCTCTTGCCTTGAATCTGATTCGCTGGAGTTAACTTCTTTCAAGTTTCAAGCAAGTCTGAGGATGACCCTGAGACGCTGGCCCATTCATAGCGTGATGCTAAATTTTCTGGCCAAAAGGGATAAGTTCCTGACATTTAAAAAATGCACAGAGATGGTCACACCATGTCACAGCGATGCGCGAAGGTCGCGCAAAAAGGAGATGAGGCAAAGGACGCGACGACAGGAAGCTGGTCGAGCACTGTGAACTGAACACTGGCCGGACTCAGTCAGCAGCAAACACCTTGACAAGTCTCAGCTTTCAGAGACAGAGATCACTTAAAATACCATCAAATTGCATGAAATTGCTCCAACAAAATAGCTCGAAATTGTTTATGTAAAGATGGTTGCAGAAGTAAAATCGGAATGACAGTAAAGCTCTCGCCTTCCCGCAGGATCAACCTGTCGCTACTAAGCCATGAAGCTGGATTCGCCAATAACAGGCTACGTGATGCGCACATGCAATTCTTGTGACAAGATGTTGTGTGTGTGTGTGCGTAATGTCATTCTATTCGTTGCGCTCTCTCTTCCACCATGCTGTTTTCTGCTCAAAATCAAAAAGGACTGCAAAAAGTCTTGCCTTCAGCTGTCTACCTTTGATGTTCTCTGACTCCACTCTCGCAGTGTACCTTGAGCTGCACTCTGTCACACCCAAGCTCATCCACTCCGCCAAGTTTCCCAAAAGAGCAGCGAATACGACACAAATTCAGATTGTTCGACCTCTAGATACAACTAGATACAGTACAACATAGTATTTCTGTAGTAGTTTACAGCGGAGATCAGGCTGGAATATGTTGGGAAGGCCTTGCCAACGCACGAGAATACCAATAGCAGATCCAAATGTGGCGCACTTTGACTTGAATCCAGCCAATGGCAAGCCTTGGCTCAGTCACCGTCCAAGGGTTTCTCAAAGTACAGCAGTGGATTGGAGTGAGGAGAAGGTGGCATTCCCGCGTGGCTTTAGGCCAGACAAAAAGACGTGACATCATTTGACATCCAAAGTATTTGAGAGATTTTGAAAGGTCCTGTTTGGTTCTGTGAGGATTCTGTTTCCTGATTTGGCTGAGGGTGCAAGGTTTTGTCCAACTTCAACTATACTTTAAGTGTACTACAGTACAACATGCTCAGTATATCGGTCCCCTTTCGGACACCCTTTCGATACCTGTAAGTCTCCCACCAAGAATCTTGGCCATGCTCTGCATTTCCTGGCAATAGCAATCAACGGGACCAAAACAATGCACATGTTGTATTCCAAACCAGGAAGGACAGCAAGAAACTGAATCAAACATGCCAAAGAGGCTGCTTCTGCCTATACAGTTTGACTTGCTGCATTCAAGAATGCATTGCTGGGAACATCACTCCACTCTGCTCAACACTAGTTGGATACCAACACTGAAACGGATGAAACGGTCTGTATTTCATTCAGCCGTGAGTTTGCTGGCGATGAGCTACAGCTACGCAAGGTCTCGGGAAAAAGGATGCATTGTCACCTTTACAAATCTCACAGGCTTACGGCGCTCATCTGTTTTATGATGTCTGAGGTGTCAGGAGCTGGAAGGATCATGAAGCAACGCAAGAGACCAAGAGGATAGGATAAGATAATGTAGGATTTGGGGCCCAGGGGTAAGGGTCGAAAGCTAGCTGGGCAGGGAGCAACTGGAACATCACCACTTGTGTAAAATGGGTGCCGTTTTGGCATCCTTTACAAGTACCAGTTTACAGGTACTGGCATGGGCTTGGCATGCAGCTACGCAGCCTTTTCGTCAACGTGACGAGCGGGTCTGAAGCTGGGGCGTGTTGGTAAGGCCAACATCCAAACCTACTTATTGAGGCGATGTATGCTGGGGGGACGAGGATGAGAACATATGATTATGCACTGTTGCAAGAAGAGGATGAAGAATTTCAGCATTGCCAACATGATGACCAGTAATTGGGGAAGATTCAAAGGTCCACCTTCAGCATCGGAGTGGACCTTTGGAAGCGGGGAAAGGAAGCAGTGCCAAAAAAAAAAAGTTGAGGATGAGAAGTAGGGTGGCGACATGCCGACGGTGTCCCCGGGGGATTGAGCTACGGCCAATTTGCTTGTGAACCAGTCAGCCCCGGGGAGGGGGGTAGTTATACCTTCCTAAAGCAAAAGGGGCTTCGGCTGAAGCTTTCGCAATATATTCAATAAGCCACAAGCCTTGAGTATTGGCCTTGCGGCCCTTGCGGCCTTGGAGTATCTCCTGGAGATGAAAATAAGGCCGAGGCCAAAGGCGCTGATGCAGCGGGCACACGGCGAACGCAGCAACGTCCACAGGCAGTGCAGCCTAAGCAACGTCCACAGGCTCAGCAAAGTCGAACTGACTTTCAAATTTGTCCAAGATTCACTCTATGCAAATTAAACAAAATTTTGTTCAGAACATAAATCTATAGTTCAACCCCGTTTCAATCTTGGCTCAAAGTTACCCAAGAATAGCGGCCGCATGTGGACGCTACTGCGGCTAGTCGATAACAGTTCTGAGATAGACACCAAAACGGATCCCATCTGCCCACCACATCGTCACATTGTCATGCGGCTACATCACCACAGCATGTGGCAGTGGCACTAAATGCACTAAATGCACTAGTGGCATCTAGTGGCTACAACCATGCCAGCTCTCAGAGAATCTCACGGATCAGTTTACAAATCCGAATCAGTCGAAGCTCGGGAAGCAAAAACTCGATGTCAAGTTGATGTGAACTTCATGGCAAACGGTGCTTTCTATCTTGTTCAAGACATTCGAGACATTTCAAAACTGTACATTTACGTGCTCTAGATGTTGCTGATGCAAGGCTGCGCTCAATATCTGCGTCCAAAGCTGCTGAAATATTGTGATGAGAGCACAACGAACAAACAGCCGGTCTTTTCTAGAGTCTTTTTACCGCACCTTATTCTGTGATTGATAGTACAGTCACATGCACTTCCTTCATCTCTCTTGAAATCTGCCAGTGCAGTACCAGTGAGGTCCACAGCATCAATGCAGAGTCTATGGATCGGTAACAATCGTCTAAATTTGTAACTGGAACTGCAATCCGTCTTCAATGCGTTTCACTCTCTTGCTGTTACTATATGCACTTGACTCCACTGGTACTTCGTGTGCGTCAGGCAGTGTGTGACTGGCTTCGACACGATTTTGTACATATGGCCAAGCAGTCCGTTAAACGGCTGGAGTCACGTCATGAGCTTTTCATCTTTGAATCGAGCGGGGTCTGTGGAGTGTTTTCAGACAAGGCTTTGCCAGCATCCCGCCAACAGATTCAAATGGCGAAGCGCTGAATGGATCAGCCAATGAAGGAATCAATCACATTCGGCACATTTAGGCTGCCACATTTGTCACATCTTTCTAGATCAAACGCATTCTGCTTAGAGACATCAGCATCGTCAACATCGTCAACATGTTGTTTGAGTGCACGGATCGACTCCATGTTGAAGCCCTGGGAAGACTCTCAGTAGATTGCCGGCCAACAAAAAAATCAACCCTATGGGAGAACGATTTTAAAGACTGGAGCCCAGTGAGGCGTGCCAATGATGAAGTAGAACCCAGCCTAAATCTCTCTCCCCGTGCGATAGATGCAGAGGCAGATTGGCCGGAAAGAGTCTGCGAAGTGAGTGATGCAAGAAGCGCACGTGCCGTACGTTTGCTCCCGTACATGTCCTGTGGTCTGTGTATTATCAGCTTTGACCTGTCCAAGATATCAATCTGCCAGATTGGAAGAAGGGATTGCAAGCCCGGCCCTTGGAAACGTTTGCACCTCCTTGCTTATCTTGCTTAAGCTCAGAGTCGGCAAACATCTCCTGGGCTCCTACAGCCCAACCGCTCTGAGCGGCTTATACTTCGGCCATTGGAATTGTCAGTCAGGACAATCCTTTGAGATTCCTTTAAGCATCTGAATAGATCTGAATAGATTTCCATACTTTGAATATGGGCCTACTGTGATTGCATTGACATGGGAAAATCCTGCTCGCTTTGCCTTTACAGTGCCCACGGGGCGTAGGAATACCGCTAACTGCCAAATCCAAAAGCCAATTTCAAGGGCTTTGGGTCTGATTAACCAGGAACCCAAACAGCAGCATCTTTTGAGAGAAGTAACTGAGAAGTAGAAATCTGAAGCATCTCAGGCTTGAGAAAGACTTGCACAGAATTGTTCTGCATGTTTTTTATGTGCTCTGCACGGGTCTCTCTCAAGAGCTTGACCTGATTTTTACAATTTGAACCTCTGGCAACAAATGGCCGCCTCCAAAAGCCCCGAATCCATCCAAATCCAGTGGACAAATGAAAAATCATGGAAACCTACAGTATCAGGAAATGTTTGGATGTTCTTTTGTTTGAAACTTATTCAAATTACTTTTGATTCTTGCTCTTTCATGCTCTTTCCACACGGGATTCTTGAGGGCTTTGGAACAGGTCTTGCCCAGGAACATCCTCTTCAGACTCCCATGAGCTCGAGATACGCTTCATGCACCTGGATGCACCTGGGAATGTACGGCCAGTGGCATGTTTTCTAAATCCAACCCGAAAAGGACTGGAGGCACCCAAGGGAAGCACATAAGCAGCGGCCTCGCATGCTCTTCATCCTCGTTGCGAACTCTCTGTTCTCCCCGTGTCTCCCCGTGTCTCCCCGTGTCTCCCCGTGTCTCCCCGTGTCTCTCCATGTCTCCCATCTCTCCACTGCCTCTTGGGAGTCTGCAGAGAGCATGCGAAACGAGAACATCGATAGCACCATGGTTCAAAGAATTGAAGCCTCAGGGAAAATCTCCATGCTGTAGTGACTGTAGTGCAACTCACAAGTAGTGATGAGTTCCTGGTAATGAAGCTTGCCTCGCTGCTTGCCAAATTTTGGCAGCTCTAGAAGACTTTTGAACATGCCTTGGTCACACTGCGGTGACACAGGTGACAAAACCATACTTCGGTCCATTTTCGAATTCCTCAGGCTAAGGAGTCTAAGGAGTCGTTGGAGTCGTTGGCACAGCTTCGAAGCTTGGGAGCCGACTACAACTGTGCAGTGGCACAGTTCAGGCCTCGGAGATCAGGCAAGCTCTTGAAACTCCAATAATAACCCCAGCTCTAGCTGTAGCTATTCAGAAAACAACTTCCCAACACCATTTGAAGCCTCTGTCACTGAGAAGCTTGCTATGAAGCCCATGTATTCACAGGGAAAATTGGTGAGGTTCACCAAAGCCTGCCCGGAATGCACAGCCACCAGCCTATGTCACAGCTGCCGACTCAAAAAGACTCACGAACCTTGCAATCAAAGTCCACTTGTGGAGGATTGTGATGCAACCTTCAAGATCTTCAAGACTGGCCAAACACAAATTCATGGAGCAAATATATGCAAATATGGTTTTAAAAAAAACTAGGTGTACTCTGCGAGTAAGTATCAGACGAATGTGGAAACCGAGGGTTGCGGCACGGCAACTTTTTCAGCTGGTGCTTCCTCCTAGTGGCGATTCAAAAACTATCAGTGACTCTCAGGTCACAGCAGAAGTCAGCTTGCACTGCCATCTTCACAATGGGTTTAGAGTGGTGCTGATCGTATTGATCGCCGACTTCCGAGAAATTCCAAGCCAATCTAGCTGCTTAAGCATGCTTAGGCACTTCATGTTCCTCGTCTTCTCCAGACGTGGATTCCTCGTAGACAGTGGCAGGATCCTTCAGTCACAGCGAAAATCTTATCAGCCAAATAGCTCATTATAGTATCTTGATTGCAGCACATCGGACACATCGTAACACATCAATGATCATCATCGATTCATCAATGAATCGAAAAATTGCAGCTGGCACTGAAGCTGTCTCGGAAGCTGCATTCTCCTCGCCACCAGAGGCTGTTTCTGAAGAGCCTGTGATTGGCTCCTGCTGGAGCAAATCATCGCGAGTCCAAGAAGCACAGACGTAACAAAAGCAACAAGAACAGTACAAGCAGAAGATTGCGCAGTGACGACAGTGACAACATTATGCTGACTGTGGACCGTGGGTTTTGAAAAACTTGTCTTTTCCTTGCCTCGGGAATGGCACACGGTCTGGAAGCAACTCGCCGAGATTTGGCCTCAGCATCGGAGAGAGAAAGAGAGGGAGAGAGAGCTGCTCGAACCAAGTCGACGTCGAAACCTAAAGACCAGAGTGACCAGAGGAAGCATCTTCTGTCAACAATCTGCTTTCCCAAAATTCCACAACGTGGGGCAAGGAGAAAATGCATTTCTTCACCATCTTCCATCTTCTTCGAATGCAATTGCCTGAGGAAACTTGCCTTGTGTGACTTCGGCCCCACTTTGCGAGCCTCTACAAAAGGGAACAGCAGCAAATCTACCAAAACATTTGTGACATTTTGTGACATTCTCTCTAAAGAGGCCTTGTCATACTCAGCCAAGAATGCGGTGGGATGAAATTCAGCGGCCTGATCAAGGATCACCGCCCCGAGGGTTTCTTTGTTTAAGCTTTGCCAGGAATGGACAGAACGGAAGTCAATGTTTTGATCTGCCAGAGTTGCACTCGAATCTTTCCGGGTGCCTTGGGGTTGAGAGCTCCGAATATAACTGCCTATCAAACTGGCAAGCGTTCCAAATCAAACTGTCGCAAGTGTTCAAAGATGTTCAAAGCACATCCACAGTCTAATTGCTAAGTCTGCTTCATGGATAGTTGCAGCTTCTCATGGCCCAGTCTGAAAGATTTTGTTTGATTTCCTTGCAGTCGAAGGTTGTCAGTCTATAATAGTCTATATATATATATATATCTTGCGATCATGAGTCTACCAATGTGTTCCGAACATATAAAATACGCCATGATATGCCCCACGCATATGGTTCCCGGAAACGAGCGGGAAACCATATCATATATACATATAGCATCATAGAATCATATAGCTTCAAAATGCAGCCACTTCTGCGACAATGAAGGTTTGCCTTCAATCAAGTCTTGACATGCCTCGATTGCAACGATTCCCCTTTTGTCGCCTCTGTGGTGTCCTTGTCCTTGGGCGGTTCTTCCGCCTCGAACTGCATCAAAATTTTGGACATTGAAATTCTACTCATGATCCTGAAGTAATCTGAAGTACCACACAACAACTTCAACTTCTGGAAACCATTTTTTTTGAACATGTAGATGTGGGCCTACAAGCGATTGCCAGATAAGGATGCCACTATTTTATTGTTTGTGTAAAATGCAAACAGGATTTCAATGGAAAAGGGTCCCGAATGGTGTGGGGATTTGTTTTTCCGGTTTTCCGTTTCGGGACTCTCTTGGCGATTTCCTGTTCTGTCCGTCTCCTTGGTATTTGCAGCCTTCTTGAAGCTGGAAGCTGCTAATTCAATTCGAAGCTCTCATGTTCCATAATGCCATAGTATTTGCAATATTTTGGTGCTTGTGCGACAGCTTGAACTGTTCATGTTAAATGGTATTCTGCAACATTTAGAATTGGTTTAGGGTCTATTCAGAATTGGTTTAGGACCTTCTAGGGCTGGTTTTAGGGTTGGACTGTGGTTTTTTCGAGGACTGGTTTAAGCTTAATTTTAAGGTTGGTTTAGGATCGATCTAGGGTTGGTTTAAAATTTGGTTTAAGGATTATTTGGGGTTGGCTTAAGATCTGTTTAGGGTTGGTTTAGGATCGATTTAGGGTTGGTTTAGGATCTATTTAGGGTTGGTGTAAATCTTGGTTTAGGGTTTATTTGGGTTCGATTTAAGGTCTATTTAGGGTTGGCTCTTGAATCAATTTTGATATGCATACAGAAGCATATCCAAGCCTCCAATTTCAAACTGGTCGAGTTCTTTCTACTTGATGATCAGAAAACTTCATCAAAGGAAGTTGGGAAGCAATCTTCCGAGTTACGGATGAAGTGTAATGCAATAACAATACATCACAAAACAATACATCACATAACAAGGGAGTGTGGTGGCTTTAGGAAGTGGTCCTAGTGGTGACGAAGGGAGTGCGGTGACCTAGCGAAGTGGTGACAAAGGGAGTGCGGTGACTTTGGGAAATGGTGATTGTAAGGCCTGCATGAATGTCACATGGGGGTCGTGTTGGGGAGGAAGCCGGAGCACGAAACCTTGCGTTTTTCTGTGTAAAGTGGCTGCAACCGGCGATGAAAGGTACCTCCTGTGTGCGGCGGGTGCGGCTTGGATCGTTTCAACGCGTAGTCGGTTCTCCCTTGGTGTCTTGCAACGTGTGGATGCAAATCGCATTGTAATGGCTGCATGGCAAAACGCATTGTAATGGCTACATGAATGTCGCATGGGACTCATGTTGGAAAGCCGGAGCACGAAACCTTATATAATGTTTTCTGTGTAAAGTGGCTGCAGCCGGCGAACTAAGTAGTACTTGGAATTACTTTGTGCAAGCTCTGTAGTACAAAGTAGTACTGGGAAGTGCTTTGTGCAAGATTTGTGGTACAAAGTAGTACTGGTGAGAGCTTTGTAATAACACAGTAGTACTGGGAAGTGCTTTGTGCAAGCTTTGTAGTACAAAGTACTGGGACGTGCTTTGTGCAAGCTTTGTAGTACAAAGTAGCACTGGGGAGTGCTTTGCGCAAGCTTTATTGTAGTACAAAGTAGTATTGGGAAGTTCCTTGTGCAAGCTTTGTAGAACAAAGTATTTTGCAAAGGCTTTTCTGTAAACGCATCTGTGTCTCAAGCTTCTGGATGCAAAAGCTTTCTGTGCCCAATGGTTTTTTCGTGCAAGAGACTTCACTCTGACAGTAAGAGCTTTCTGGCGTGCTGTTCGTTGAGAAGAACTTCGAGGAGATAAGACAGGTTGGTCAGTGCTCGGGTGAGATGAAAACAGTTGAGAAGAACTTACTTGGATGACATGTGAGAAGAGATGGGATGAGATGAGAAGAGCTGAGATGAGGTGAGGTGAGGTGAGGTGAGAAGAGCTCACATGATTTGCGATGAGATGAAGTGCAAGTGTGAAGTGTGAAGTGCGGGGTGTGAAGAGCGCAGTGTGAAGTGTGAAGAAAGTGTTCGCTTGGAGTTGCATTGCACCGGGGTCCTGCGCAGGTCATGTTCTTGGACAACAACAGTGCAACAGGTTCGCACAAAGCACGCACGCACGGGCCTGGCTGGCACACGGCGCATGCAAGTTCTGAAAAAGGTCTTATAGTAACATATAGTAACTGCAGTATAACCCTAAGGCAACTTCCGCCCCGCCTCGCGGGTACTACTGGTAATGAATAAGGCGCAAATGCGATTGCTCTTGAAGGTGCGCACATGCATGCCTGTGTGCGTGTGAAGTCTTTGCAATTTGTAAGATACCGTTTGCCTCCAATTGCGACTTCAAGTTCCTTACTACAGGGTGTATTCCTGAACATCGTGTTCCAACTGCTTCGAATGCAAACACCCATCTCCAAATGCGCCCGCAAAACTTGGAGAGTTCATTGCAAACTGACACTCTACGCACCATGCTGCCGAAATACTGGACGTACTTCGAAGCTCTTTGCATTCTAAGTTAAAGAGTTCCGAAACTATTTGGGTATAGATCAAGATTGAGTACTCCAATAATTAGATTCTTAATGCTAAACATATACTAAAATTTGTGGTCCCATAGAGCTTAATTTTCGACTCATCCGCATGTTATACTATCAGAAAAAACACGTGCGCAGATCTTTGCTTACATAAGTCATTTTGAGTCTAAAGATCAGGTTAGATACAACCAGATTCAATTGTAGATAGACATTGCAGTCCCAATATCTATAATTATATATATATTCCAAAGTTTGTACAAGTTCTCAATTGGGTATCGGAAAAGGTCAGACATGTTCTAGGTATGGTGAATTTCTGGGAACATGATGTCCAAAATACTTCGCAAGGTTCCCAATATGTTGTTCTGACCTGGGACTCAAATATCAGACATTTCAATACCTTTGGCAATCCAATCAAGCCTCTCTACCCAAACTTCCGGGACACCACGTCCAGACCTAGAGTAACAAGAACTAATTATAAAATATCCTTGCAATTGCTGCTTGTCGACTTTCCGCCGGCACACGGAATCCATACAAAAGGAACGTCTGCGAGTTGGTTGATGTTTGCTGCGACTGGTTTGGAATCGGTTTCTGGATATGGTTTGGGTGGTTTGGCGTCACTTTCTTCCCTCCGTGACACGCAAATGTGCTGTGGGACCCAGGGTGGAACGCAGGACATGCAAAATTTGAAAACATCGCCGCAACAGCTTCTTGCAAGAGCTGCTTGATCTTTTGCGACTCTTGGAGCTTCCGTTGCTCTATTTGGGGGATAATTTTCTGCCAATTAAGAAGTACGAGTACTGTAAGAGTATTCTGCTCAGAGAGCCTTGGAACCGTGAAACCCTGGAACCATCAGAAAAGTTGGACACGAGAATAGGACGCTCGAATGCGCTTCTAGCGGAAACCATTGAGAACCATGCAACTTTCTGCAACTTCTGAGTTGCAGAACCCTGAACCCTTTGGTAATTCTTGCCTAGCAGATACTAGCAGATCTTAGCAGCTATCAAATACTAAAAAATTGGCACTGTTAAACCCTGCCAACTCTTGAATCCTACAACTTTGAACTTTGCTTTTGTCGAGTGGAACCATGGACTCGCTTCAAACCTTGGGACTTTGGAACAAAGAACCCTCGAGCCACCAAATCCTGGAAGTTTGAAACCGTTCAATCCTGGAATCTTGAAAGGTTTCAGAAAGGTTTCGGTGTTTTTAGGATGTAATTCCAGTTTCTAAGAAGCTCGTCACTCTGAAACAATGTAGGCATCAAATCCTAAAATTCAAGGTTCCAAGATTACACGGTCTTCCAAAGATGCCGTTGCTGTCATTTGGGTGCCCAAAGGTTGAATCCCAGCAGTCCCCGTGTCTCCCGCTGCTCAAGGGCCTCCTCGCTCAACCCGGGCGGTGGGCCAATGGCGCTGAGGGGCACTTCCTACAGGTTGAGTCGCGCATCAAAACGAGTTAAGCTGAGAGGCAAACCGAGATTCGCCAAGAGAGACTCCAAGAGAGACTCCAAGAGGGGTCAAGCAGGTCCTCGACATCATCAACTCCTGAAACAGCGTTAAGGCCCTGGAAAAGCCCTAGCACAGCTCGGAACATTGAGACCATCAACGTGGAACATCAAAAACACTCATCAGCTATCTTCAGCTGTCTTCAGCTGTCTTCAGCTGTCTTCAGCTCTTCCTGGCCTTGGACGGTATCTCCAAGCATTTCTCCAGGCAGCGCAAAGTCAATGCAGTCTGGACCTTGGATTTGGCCGCTGAGAGCAGACACGCGAGCCAGTCTGCCTCAGTTGCCAACCAAGGAGTCCGTAGTCGCCATCTTGGCCTTCACAGAAGCACAACGGTTTTAGCCATTCAGCCGCTCTCTGAGCCGCTCTCGCCCTGTAAGCCATGTCGTGACGCGTTCAACTTGCTCTTTGCCGCTGAGCCTTCTCCATAGTACATTTTGGCAGCCTGACACATTGACGCCGTGATGCCGTGTTCGCATTGTTCCATCTGTTTCCTACGGCGTAAAAGGTGCCTCCTCGACAGTCATATACCTCAGCCACAAATCCAATCGAATCAAAGTCATCAAGGCTTTCGTAGTCTCCCTTGCTGTCGAATACTCAGATCAATACTCTGATGGATCAAAGTCGTAGTTGCACTCGTCTCCGTACATCCACGGATTGAACTCTGATGCCTTGTCGCTTATCAGAATATATCAGAATATATCAGAATGATGATAATGATGAAAATGATGAAAAGAAGTGGCACGGTAGCGTCAGTGCAAATAAAAGACGCACATCTGGCTGCCTGAGGATTGAATGCAAATTCGTGAGACTCCTCTGCAGACTCCTTGGTGGACCTTGGTGAAACTCGTTTCATCTCATGTCAGTCGCTCATGAATCTATGGATTTCGGATGCCGTTAAAGGATGTTAAAGGATCAAAGTTTAATAGCATGATCCAAAGTGTGACGAAAAGCAATGAATGATGTACTGATGCATCCAATGGATGACAGCATCGGTACAGAGCTGAGAAGTGATCCCGGCCCATGTCACATATTCGTCTCCTGCTAGACCTTTGACCTTCGCAGAATGAACATCTCAAAGAATCCTAACAAAAGCATCCTTTGATCCAAGTGGGGTGAGTTCACAACATGCCCTGAAATGCATAGTTTCCAAGCCTCCAAGCACTATTTGCAAAGTTTCTAGTCTCGAGACAGATGACACCAATGGATCTACTTAGCAAATGCCGGCAACAACGGTGGTGGTGTGATTTCAGGGAACCTGACAGAGGTACAGTCCTTTTAGAATTTTTAGATAACTTGGGGCATTTTCGGAATCACCCCCCGGAGTCCTTGTAACATCTTGTAACCTTAAAGTCACTTTGTGTCTTGGTTTTTCATGTTTCGGATTTTGGAGGGAAATCAACATTGACAAAAATGGGTTCACAGTGTTCGATTCTGTGTTGTCGCTGTTTTTGCTCTTCAACACAAACACTCTGAGTTTATGTAGTTGTATTTAAATTGTATCTTATGTATTGTGCTGTGTTGTTGCTTGTTTTTGCCATGAGCTACATCAGATGCCTGTTCTTTTCTGAGTCATGATCTGTTTCTCAAGGACATCGAAATGCAGTTGCAAAGTGACGTTGTGTCCATTTAAAATGATTGTTATAGTTGCTTTTTGTGACCTCAATATTGTTCGTTGACGAAGCCACAATTTAATTCCAAGATGCACAAATGTTCAAAGAGAAAATGGGTTGCAATGTTTTGCCAAGACATGAGGTTCTATATTATCCTACACCCCATCTGCACCTACACTCCTTTCTTACTTTCTCCAAACACTTCTTTCCATACACTTCCCCTCGCCTTGAGCCCAACATTATCCCATTTCTACCTTCAACTTCCTCCACTTTCCTTCCTCCTGTCATCTCCTGTCATCTCCTGTCTACTATATCTTTTCCACAGGCCCATGGGCATCTGAATTCCTGCTATGTGAGCGGTCCCTTAACGAAGCGTAGTGAACACTGGCAACAAACATGTCAAGAATGTGATCATGGCTAAACAGATCACAGAATCAAGCAGAACCAAACAGGCATCAATTTGTCAGCGGCCATCAGCGGCCCAAACAGCATCAAACAGCAATGGTCTCAAACCGCCATGGTCGCCATGGCCCCCATGGCTTGTCGCCTGCAGGAGACCTGTACGATGCCGAAGCCACGTAGCGAAGGCTTCAGCATCCTTGGGACAGATGCGACAGCTTTGGCGAACTGCGAACCACTAGGGCCTAGGGCCCTAGGGCAGGGCCTAGTGGCCTTCCAAAGGCATTTGCTTCACAAGCGACAGCGACAGTAGGGACACCCCTGTTAGACAGGCCTGCAAGAGAAGCTTTAAATCAAGGGGCGCCTGCGGTGAGTGGTTTCGAATCACAAAGTGAGTCCAAGACTGCAACGGTAAAACTGCACAAAACTGCACAAGGACTTAAAAAGTATTGGGAGACTGGACCTCATCCACCAATGTTGCTAAAGGCACACTGCGACCAGGCCTCAAACCACAGAGCAAACTCTATACCAAGCCACTCACAATGCCATTCTAATTTGATCTAATTCTATTGCTCTTATTTGATCTAATTTGCTGTATTGGCTACTGGGTATGCTTTTGGCAACCACTCTAACGTCCTAGTGTCACAAGCTGAAAAGCATGTCAACAGGTGCCCCTTTGTGAAGAAAGCCAATTGAGTTCTCGACGCGCGTCGGATTCGATTGAGCAACTGGGAAGGATCACCACCCTTGCCTAGAAAAAGGTGTTGGCAAAGGATACTGCAAACGCTAAGAATGAGTGGCTGATTGGAACCAAAATCAGCTCTTCTTGCACTCTTGCAGGCTCATTGAAAATCAGGAGCCATGACGATCATGTCAAACACTCGGACTACCACTGGCGGAACTGCAATTATTACCACGTGCCGGTAGGCAATTAGCCAATGTGAGCACTATACAAGTTCGTGGCAGTATAGGGTCAGGAATTCCAGGAATTCTTGAATGCAATTGATTTTAGGTTCGCATGTCTGCAGTTATTGCAGGTACGGTATTAATGTGATGAAATATGATATGTAGGTTCTGCAAAGGATGCCGTTTAACAATAGTGCAGTGTCCTGTAATGCTCTGTACTGTTGTCATGGTATGTTATCTGATGTGGCGCTATGTCACACCATGTTGGTTTTTGATGTTGGTTATTGATGCAATCCCCCAGAGTCTCACAATCACAATTCCAGGCAATGTGCAAGAGTATGTGCAGAATACATATGCAAAAATATCATATGTCATCTATCCTATATCCTATGTATCATGTACTTATTCTACTATCATATTGTTCACATAGATGTTCATCTCATCCAATTCAATTTTGTTCCTTTTCCGGGAATTATGTGTTATGAAATTTAATGCTTCGACCAGATGCCGCTTCATGGCATTTCCACGGCCTCTTGGCGTTCCATGACAGTCTCCAATTTCACCGAGCCCTTGACCCCAACCAGCCCTTGCTGGTAAAGTTTCATCGGATGCCAGTGCAAGAGCGGTTGCTTGTTCAATGTCCTTCAGTCATCTGCAGTGCGTGGTGGCCACGTCTGTACAAGTGCCAGACTAAGATTGCTTGGCCATCGTGGCCTTTGTTTATGACTGCTTCTCTGTCAATGTCCTTCTGCAGGCTTGCAAAAATCATTTCCTGTCGCACAAGCAAACGGCCCTCAGTTGCGCTTTGTGGAAGCACGCAAAGGAACAAAAAGGTAACCCAGCGAAACAAAACATCGATGGTAAGCGAAGCAAATCGAACAGGAGGAAAGCTAAGACAGCGAAGAAGGAAGGAACAAGGATGGCCAAGCATTGCTAACAATTGCCAAGCAGTGGTAAGCAGTGCCAAGAAGTGCCAAGAAGTGCCTGCATCGCTGCCTTCTCAGCCGGCGTCACCATCAGTGCTGCCGTCGGCGGCCTCAGCAGGTTTCCAGTTGGGTTTCCAGCTGGGTTTCCAGTGTGTTCACGGCAGCCCTGCACAACATGCCAACTGCCTATGCTTCATCAAAGCCAGTACCCCAACTCTCGGAGGCAGCCGGAGGCTGAAAAAACTAAGAACTTAAATAACTCTTGGTACTGTGTCGGGAATACATCATTATAGAAACATACATGTATCATACCCGCCGACCCCAGCTGACGGCAAGGGGGAGCAGCGCGTTCGAGGAAAAGTGTCTTCTTGTTCATCCAAGCTATTTTGAGAGGCATCCGGCATTATATAATGTATATTTATACGTGACACATATCGTCAACGGGATCAAGTAGCAAGGCCAGAAACGTTACTTTCTTGACCAAAAGGCATTGCATTGCACTTCTTCTGTGCCAGGGCTTCTTGTCTCAGGCTTCGCAGACTCATCTCTGCTAAAACCTGCGTCTTCGCTTTGATACAATGCCTCCTATGCCCTGCCCCTGCCATTTTTGCCGAATGTCCCTTTCTTGACTGGGGATTTGACACCACCTTGGGTGACAACTTCTTCATCTCGAATGAAAGGCCTGGCACATTTCCTGCCACAAATACAAAGATGTTGCAACAAACCTTGCTTGTGGTTGAAAACTGTTGAAAAACTGCATCCAGTAGCATACCATGGAAGCTTAAAGAAATCCTGGGGCAAAAGATGGCCGCGGCCCCCCAACCAAAGCATTGTGCGAGAGGCTAGATGCGGCTAGATTGATATGAGACACTTTCCACACTTTGCACTTCATACCTGCTATCTCTGAATTCCCATATTTTTCTTGGTCCCTCTCAAAAGTCCTTCAAGTGTGCCAAACTTTGGGCTGAAGTCATTGCTCATACTGCCTCAAATGAACTGAATTCAATATTTCTGTGAGATTCTCAGAGTCTATTTTTGATGCTCAATCTATTGCTGCCACATTTTTCCTACAGACACAGGCAGTGACAACTGCTTCGTGTTCAATTGGCACTTGTGGGCAGCTCAGCACAAGCGAAGCAAACTGTAAGTGAACAATAAGTCTCAAACAGGGGCTTGCATCCGGGGTTATGTGAAGTGACTTCAGGCAAACCTCTGCAAATCATTGAGAAACACTGCCATGCAGTTGTGTTTCTGATGACTATGGCAAAGAAAAATTAATGCGCTCTCTGACCGCAGCAAGTGGCCTGATCATCATCTGTCACCGGAACGAACGCTCGCACCTGACTCCAACCATTTGAGAAAACCAGGTTGCTGTGGGTTTTTTTCCCTTCCTCGGACTTCCTCGGACTTCCTTGTTTCTAATCGCAAACTTTGGACCAGACAGACAGCAGCCACTCTCTGGTGTACACCGATTCTGCCACGCTGACGTGTACACCGTCGCCTCATCGTGTCTGATTCACGAAGGCCGACTGCCATTCGCTGCCATCATTCTGCTTGGCTTAGAATGGTTTAGAACCCCTTAGAACCCCTGAATGGCTAAACATTGCTAAACCGTGTCCAACATCACCAACATCCAGCCTGACACAAACTGAAACATAAGAGAAAAACGCACCTGCGTCCGGCACCGCGGCCTCCATCAGATCAGTGAGTCGTGCTGAAAAGCTGCATCAACGAACACTATATATACTGTGTATATCTATTTATATTAAGTGAACATTATACATATACATATACATTTACATATACATATTTATATATATATATATATTCATATATATATATTCATATATATGTATATTCATATATATGTATATTCATATATATGTATGAATTTCATATATTACATATACTACATGCATTGCATATATGACATATATTATGTACATATGTTACATGTTTTACAAACAATAACATATATTACACTATATATTACAGACAACATTTACTACATGTGCTACATATGCTACATAACATACAGATACGTATGCATGTACATATGCATGTACATATGCATGTACATATGCATGTACATATACAAATGTACGCATATGTACACATATGTAACGATAGATACATTCTTAGATAGACTCTTAGGCTGAAAGATAGATAGATAGATAGACAGATAGATAGATGGGTAGGTAGATAGATAGATACATTTAAGATAGAATGATGGATAGATAGATGGATGGATGATAGATAGATAGGTAGGTAAGTAGATAGATCGATACATTTAAGATACATACTGTAGATAGATAGATAGATAGATAGATAGATGGATAGATAGATAGATAGATGAGGTAGATAGGTAGAGAGGTAGATAGGTAGATTGGTAGATAGGTAGATGGATAGATAGATAGATAGATAGATAGAGGGGTAGATAGGTAGAGAGGTAGATAGGTAGATTGGTAGATAGGTAGATCGGTAGATAGGTCGGTAGACAGACAGACAGACAGATAGATAGATAGATAGATAGATGGATACATTTAAGACATATACATTTAAGATAGGTACATTTAAAGATAGGTACATGCAAGATAGGTACATTTAAGATAGATACATTTATGATGGATAAATTTAAGATGGATAAATTCAAGATACCTACGTTTAAGATATATGGATTTAAGATAGGCATGGTTGAGAAAGATAGATAGATAGAAAGATAGATAGACAGGTAGATAGGTAGATAGATAGACCGACAAATAGATAGATACATTCAAGACAGACGGATAGATACTGTTAGATACAGTCAAATATGTGTATATATATATACATAAACATTTGAAGGTATATGTATAATACAAATATATATATATATATGCGTGTGTGTATGTATGTATGTATGTATGTATGTATGCATGCATGCATGCATGCATGGATGGATGGATGGATGTATGTATGTATGTGTGTGTATGTACGTATGTATGTATGCATGCATGTATGTTTGTGTATGTGTATGTGTATGTGTATGCGTATGTGTATGTGTATGTGTATGTGTATGTATTTGCATATGTATATGTATATGTATATATATATATATATGTGTATATATACATATACACTTACACAATGCATAATCTATGATATACCAATTATAATACATCATTTTCAGGTACATACAGATCACTATATACACATCCGCCCACCCCAGCTAGAGCAGGGGGAGCACGTCAGGAAAACTGTTGTTCCAGCATTGCCCTTCCGAAGGTCCACTCTCCGCCCTTTGCAGCCTTTTGGTAGGTATTAACCCTCCCTGGCGCTTTTGGCAGCTGCCGGGGGCCTTCAAAGAGGTTTTCCTACTGGCTTCAGAAAGCAAAAAAAAGGACTCCGGCGCCCATTCCAGTCTGTGGTCCCTCCCCAGCCTTGGCAGCTGCCGGGGGCCTTCAAAGAAGTTTTCCAATGGCTTCCGAAAACAACGGTAGGCATGAGCCCGCCCGGAAATGCTCCAAGGCGCCTTTTCCAATTGCCGTTTCCAGCCTTTTGGCAGCTGCCGGGAACCTTCAAAAAAAGTTTTCTCATGGCTTCAGACGGCAACGTTTGGCATTAGCTCGGCCGGAAACAGTCCCCGGCACCCTTTACAGTCTTGTCGTCCCTCCCCGGCGCCTTTTCCGGCCTTCAAAGATGTTTTCTAATCGCTTCAGAAAGCAACGTTATAGGCATTAGCCCGGCCAGAAACGGTCCCCGGCGCCCTTTCCAGTCTTGTCGTTCCTCCCGGCTCCCTTTCCAGCCTTTTGGCAGCTGCTGGAAGCCTTCAAAGACGTTTTCTAACGGCTTCTGCCAGGGGCCTTCGAAGATGTTTTCTATAGTGGCTTGAAAAGCAACGTTAAGCATTAGCCCGCCCGGAAGCGCTCCCCCCCGCGCCCTTTCCAGCCGCAGCTGCCGGGGGGCCTTCAAAGATGTTTTCTAATTTCTAATAGCTTCAGAAAGCAACGTTAGCCCGCCCAGAAACGTTTCCCGCCCTTCTTTCTAGTCTTGTGGCCCTTCCGCAGCACGCTTTCCTAGTCTTGTGGTCCCTCCCCAGCGCCCTTTCCAGGCTTTTGGCAGCTGCCGGGGGCCTTCAAATATGTTTTCTAGTGGCTTCAGAAAACAACGTTAAGCATTAGCCCCCCCGGAAACGCTTCCCCGCGCCCTTTGCAGTCTTGTGGTCCATCCCCGGCGCCTTTTCCAGCCTTGGCTGCATCCCGGTGCTCCAGTGCCCTGCGCAATACTTTGGCAGCTGCCGGGGGCCTTCAAAGACGTTTTCTAATAGCACCAGCCTGGCTTTAAACCCTTCCCGACGCCCTTTCCACCTTTTTGGTTGCCAGCATCCCGGCCCTCCGGTTCTGCAACCCACTGTCGTTTACCGTCCTATGCTCCGGGCGCCGGCCACGGAGCCCATGTCCTTGCCGGAGGCCTTCTGTAGTAACCGAAGGTTATAGGGGCTGCCCCCTCCTGCCGCCGACCCACCCCCGACCCACCCCCGAACCGCTCCCGAACAACTGAAGCCTACGTAATTTACGGTGATTTTTTCTTGCGATGTTCAAAAACATCGTTTTTTTACGGTGTTTCGGGCCCTTCGCCGGCAAAAAAAATCATTTTGGCGATGTTACAGAACCTCGGTTTTTACGTGGCTTTGGGCTCGAAGAGGGGGCCCGGGACGGACAAATTGGCATCTTAAGATCGTTTCAACATAGATGGCCCAAACATGGCCCCAACATAGGTCCCAAGAGGGCTCAACATGGGCCAACATGGGCCAACATAGGCCAACATAGGCCCAACGTAGGCCCGACATGGGCCCAAGATGAGCACAACATAGCTCAACATGGGCTCAACTTGGCCCAACATAGGCCCAAGATGGGCCCAACATGGCTCAACATGGGCCCGACTTGGCCCAACATAAGCCCAAGATGGGTGCAAGGCCCAACTTGGCCCAACATGGGCACAACCTGCGCTCAACATAGGCCCAGACTGCTTCCATACAGGCAAGCACTGCGCATTATGCCTGCATCAGTTCAACATAGCCCTCCCTGGGTTTGCGTGGAGAATCTCGGCCCAATCTTTCGTTGCTTGGCCGGCGCCCGGCTGTCAGGCACTTGAGAGCAGGCGGAGGCGGACGAAAGGTAGGGTAGTGGGAGAGGAGTGGTGTCAAAATGCTGCGCCCCTAAGATGATACACCAAAAACGTTTTTGCGCAGTCTAAGATGATTTTATCCAGAGCATGACTGCATGATACGGTGTCTTGTGCAGCGTGAAATGATGCAACAAAAGGGGTTTTAAAAAAAAAACTTTTTAACACCCCTTGCAGCAACTGTTATTGAGGCTGAAGCAAACCAATTATGCTGGACTACAGGGCCATCTCTCTCATGGAGAGTGTGCCTCTACTGTGGAGGACCGTGACCGCGTCACCCGTGGGAATTGAACCCATGACCATTTTAGGGGGAGGGGGGGCCCTTTATAATTGATATCCAATACATAACGTCGAGAATTCTACGTTTTGCACGGGCTGGCCCCCCAATACCCCCTATGATTGTGCTGAAGCACGGAGAACTCAGGTAGCTGATGCTATCTTTCGTGATAAGCCTTTAAATCCGGGCGCCGGCCACGGAGCCCGTGTTCTTGCCGGAGGCCTTCGGTGGTAACCGAAGGTTATTGGCGCTGCCTGCCCTGCCGCCGACCCACCCCCGAACAACTGAAGCCTACGTAATTTACGGTGTCTTTTGCTTGCGATGTTCAAAAACATCGATTTCCCGAGAGCGCCTGTGAAGGGTTCTTCGTAAAAAAGCAGCCGTTGTAATACATCTTCACACCCTCACATCTGCTGATCTACATCTTCACACCCTCACATTTGCTGATCTACATCTTCACACCCTCACATCTGCGGATCTACATCTTCACACCCTCACATCTGCTGATCTACATCTTCACACCCTCACATCTCCAGATCTACATCTTCACACCCTCACATCTGCAGGTCTACATCTTCACACCCTCACATCTGCCTACATCTTCACACCCTCACATCTGCAGATCTACATCTTCACACCTTCACACCTGCAGATCTACATCTTCACACCCTCACATCTGCAGATCTAGATCTTCACACCCTCACATCTGCTGATCTACATCTTCACACCCTCACACCTGCAGATCTACATCTTCACACCCTCACATCTGCAGATCTACATCTTCACACCTTCACATCTGCACATCTCCTCTCGCTCTTCTTTCTATCTCTCTCTTAAGGCAGGGGCGGTGCCGCCGGAGCGCCATGAAACGCAACCCTTTCGCACGAAATGGACGTTGGACGTCAAAAACTAAGGTAAAATTGCGATTTAACTGAGTCAAATGCAACCTTTTCGCACGAAATGGACGTTGGACGTCAAAAACTGAGGTAAAATTGCGATTTAACTGAGTCAAATGCAACCTTTTCGCACGAAATGGACGTTGGACGTCAAAAACTGAGGTAAAATTGCGATTCTAGTTAGTCGAGCGCAACCCTTTCGCACGAAATGGACGTTGGACGTCAAAAACTGAGGTAAAATTGCGATTCTAGTTAGTCGAGCGCAACCCTTTCGCACGAAATGGACGTTGGACGTCAAAAACGGAGGTAAAATTGCGATTTTGAGGTGTCACGGGCAACCATTACACGCGAAATGGAGGTTCGACGTCAAAAACTGGGGTAAAATTGCGATTTAACTTAGTCCATCGCAACCCTTTCGCACGAAATGGACGTTGAACGTCAAAAACTGAAGTAAAATTGCGATTTCACGGGTCCGGTCTCTGTGTGTGAAAGTGTTTGTGTGTGAAAGCTTCTGTGTGTAAAAGTTTCTGTGTGTAAAAGCTTCTGTGTGTAGAAGCTTCTGTGTGTAAAAGGGTCTGTGTGTAAAAGGGTCTGTATGTAAAAGCGTCTGTGTGTAAAAGCGTCTGTGTGTAAAGGAGTCTGTGTGTAAAAGCCTCTGTGTGTAAAAGCTTCTGTGTGTAAAAGGTTCTGTGTGTTAAAGCTTCTGTGTGTAAAAGCGTCTGTGTGTAAAAGTGTCTGTGTGTAAAAGGGTCTGTATGTAAAAGCGTTTGTGTGTAAAAGCGTCTGTGTGTAAAGGAGTCTGTGTGTAAAATCCTCTGTGTGTAAAAGCTTCTGTGTGTAAAAGCGTCTGTGTGTAAAGGAGTCTGTGTGTAAAAGCCTCTGTGTGTAAAATTGTCTGTGTGTAAAAGTGTCTGTGTGTAAAAATGAATGCAAAAACGGAGAAAATGTTGCAAATAATGTAAATACCAATACTTTTTAAACCAGAGATGCACAAAACACTGCAAACACCAGCGCTTTTGAAGGCAAAAGCAAAAAATAACACCGTAAATGATAGTATTTTTGGCGGGTTGATCTCAAAAAATGCTGGTGTTTTACACAGTTTTTGGAATGTCAAGAAAACATGGAAGACACGAAACACTGTAAATAGCGGTGTTTTGGCCACTTTTGGGTGCTGAAACGCTGGTATTTACGCAGTTTTCGCCCGTGACGGTACCAAACCCTGGAAAAAAAATACAGCATTTTTTACACCGATTGTTTGCCTTGATGAATGCAAAAACGCTGGTATTTACGCGTTCTTCAAAAAAGCGAAGATCGTGACATGAACGAAACCCTGTAAATAACAGTGTTTTATCCACTTTCGGTGACTAAAACTGTGGTATTTACGTGGGTTCTTGCCATCTGACAGCGTAAAATGTTGTAAATTACAAGACTTTGTGCGCTGTTTATATTCAAATTTTAAACGAGCGATGCTTTCACATGTTCTTGGCATTCTTCAACAAGAAACGACGTTACAGATTGAAACTAGACGACAGCGTGGCCCGAAAGAAAGCTGGAGGGAGGAGACGAGAAGATAGCACACAAGATAAAATGATGATGGATGCTGCTGGTGAGGCGCTTTTACACAGACGTGTTTGCACACAGAAACTTTTACGCACAGAAGCTTTTACACACACAGGGTCTTTTACAGAGAAGTCTTTACACTAAGGAGATTTTGCATACAAACGCGTTTACACAGAGAAGCCGTTACACAGGAGCTTTTACACACAAGGGCGTTTACACACAGAAGCTGTTTCACACAGACGCTGTCACACAAAGAAGTCTTTACACAGAGACAGCTTTAACACACAGGCGCGTTTACAGACAGAAACTTTTACACAAAGAAGTCTTTACAGAGAGAGAGAGAGAGCTTTTAAACACGGAAGCTTTCACACACAGCAGTTTTTACACAGAGAAATCTTTACACAAAGAAGCTTTTACACGCAGAAGCTTTTTCACACAGAAGTTTTTACACAGAGAAGCCTCTGAGAAGCCTTTACACACAGAAGCTTTTACACACAAGGGCGTTTACACACAGAAGCTGTTACACACAGACGCTGTTACATTCACATGTTCTTGGCATTCTTCAACAAGAAACGACGTTACAGATTGAAACTAGACGACAGTGTGGCCCGAAAGAAAGCTGGAGGGAGGAGACGAGAAGATAGCACACAAGATAAAATGATGATGGATGCTGCTGGTGAGGCGCTTTTACACAGACGCGTTTACACACAGAAGCTTTTACGGACAGAAGCTTTTACACACACAGGGGCTTTTACACAGAGAAGTTTTTACAAAGAGCAGCTCTTAGACACAGAAGCTTTTACACACAGAGGCTTTTACACAGAGAAGTCTTTATACCGATGGGCTTTTACATGCAGAAGCTTTTACACAGAGAGAAGTCTTTACACAGAGGAGCTTTTACACACAAGGGCGTTTACACACAGAAGCTGTTACACACAGACGCTGTTACGCAAAGAAGTCTTTACACAGAGAGCTTTAACACACAGGCACGTTTACAGACAGAAACTTTTACACAAAGAAGTCTTTACAGAGAGGGCTTTTACACACGGAAGCTTTCACACACAGGAGTTTTTACACAGAGAAGTCTTTACACAGAGAAGCTTTTACACGCAAAAGCTTTTTCACACAGAAGCTTCTACACAGAGAAGCCTTTAGACAGAGGAGCTTTTACACACAAGGACGTTTTCTCACAGAAGCTGTTACACACAGACGCTGTCACACAAAGAAGCCTTTACACAGAGAGCTTTAACACACAGGCGCGTTTACAGACAGAAACTTTTGCACAAAGAAGTCTTTACAGAGAGGGCTTTTACACACGGAAGCTTTCACGCACAGAAGATTTTACACAGAGAAGCCTTTACACAGAGAAGCTTTTACACGCAGAAGCTTTTACACACAGAAGCTTTTACATTGAGAAGTCTTTACACAGAGGCGCTTTTACACGAAGTGGAAAGTTGAAATTGGCAGCAATTCTTTAGGAAAAGCCCTTCGCAGGAGCTTTCGGGAACAAGCCTTCCCCACTTGCTCCAAGATAAAAAAAACGCTGTTCCATGATTCATGAATTTATGCTCAAAAAAGCATAAGGAATATATTTCTGAAGCAGCAGGTCCTCATTCAATAGCTTTCAAGCCCACCCTGCGATGACATCGAGGTCAAGTAATCCGGCGGAGCCGACGATGAGCGTCAGCTCTAATATATATATATACACATAAATCTCTGCAGTATATAAATGTTTACATGTGTGTGTGTATATATATATATTTATTTACAGTTTACATATGTAAATAGGCATTTAGGTATATGGATTGTTTATACGTATATAATCGTATATATATAGTGTATATGTATATGAATATATATGTGTGTTATGTATAGATACATTGTGTATATACATACATATTACTATAATTATGTTTATTCCTGTTATCTTTGTTATGTATATATCTATATACTATATATATATATATTGTCTGTATGTATGCGTACATGTCACATCCTGCTGATTCAGACAGCCAACTGGACCAAATCGTTTAGGTGCAGGTAACTTCCGTGATCAGCAGCGTATGTGCTCTCTTTGCCGCATCCTGCGACTGCCAGGACCACATTGAGATCTGAGACTCGCCTGGTCTTCGACTGGACACCTCAAGTTGTCGGAACGCATTGCTTTACAAAACTGCCACAGTGCCTCGTTTGCATTCACACTGCCAGAGCAGCCAATGATTGAATGTGTTGATAATGTGTTGAAAATGCGTTGATTATGTGTTGATATATGTAGTTTGACAACTCAATTCAACCAGCTTTCACACTGTACTGGGATGCACACGTCATGAGATCTCCCTTTCGCCGCTGCCACCTTGCCGAAACCAGCTGTTGAGCAAAAAATGCCGCGGATACCAGGGACCTTGGAGGGACCTTGGTAGCATAAACGCATCAGCCTGGTCCCAAGTTGTCTTGGAAAGCACATGTCCAGCATGGGCGAAAACATCGCAAGACTGTATTACTCCCCTGCCGCAATATGAACATGTCCACCACAACGTGGATAGATGTGGATAGTTTGGCTTCAAGTCGAAATAAAAGCCAGCTGTGCAAAGCAGAGTGTGGTGGGATACATACTTTGCAAAGCACTTTTGAACATACTGTGCTCTTTTGGCACTACGTCTCTGCAATCTTTGCAGACTTGAAAACTGTTCAATGCTTGTGCAACTCGTGCAACTTGTGCGTCTCTAAAGCTTGAAACAACGGGATTGAGAAATCTTGGCCTATCTTGGCCTTATACTTACTCTAACTATCTCTAACTATCTCTAACTCTAGCATTTTCTTGCCTTACCGAAATTGGAAAGATTTCAGGAGTAAGGTGTCTCTTGTCTGCCTGCAGTCAGCTCACAAGCTCGTTCTGCATCACCTGAAAGGAATCAGCCTCTCTCAGAAATCGAAAGAGCCAGGGCTTCGATCTTGGTACTTTTTGGATCTTTTTGGCAGTTCATGATGTAAATTGATTCAAATTCAACGCGGCCAAGGCATGCCTTACATGCGGAACATTATGGGACACCTTCGACAAGGCTGTGGCCCTCGTCCAAGGAGGATAGGCCAGGCCAGGCAAGGTTTTCCAGCGCTCAAGTAAACACCTGGGGAGCCAACTCTTCCCAGTCGGCATAGCGCAGGCCTTGAAAATCGCATCGAATCGACAAACACAATGAGTGAAGAGTACGCAAAAACGATATCTAAATGCTTGTATTGGACTCAAAGTGAAAAATTTGGATTTCAGATTTGTCATGACAATGGAGGGCCGCAACCACCACAAAAAAAGTTTGGAAATCTTTAGAGCGAGTCAATCGAGTCGAATGAGGTGAATGAGTCGAATGAATCGTGACTACCGTGAAAACCACCGAAAATTGCCAAAGAAATGCCAAAGAACTCTGTCAGACTCTAGGTCCTCCGCAGGGCTAAGAGCCAAAGAACTACTTTGCTTCTGCACTTGATGAGACCTCAAGCTTGGCTGGTGTCCCCCAAACGGACCTAGAGATTGGGAGACTTTGCAAGAATCATGGGACTTAGGAAAGATTTGAGTCCTGTTTCCTCTCATGGATGCAGAAATCAATTTAGAACCGCTGTCAATTATCCAGACTATCCAAAATCAATCCACCATGCAAATCCATCCAACAGTACTTCCCATGACCTTCTCAAAGATGTGAAGAAACATGAAGAAAGGAAACTACGCGAACTCATGTACTTCTCTCAGCCAAACACAATACTGCCTTCAGTATGCCCCTCCTGGAAAGTTAGTTTGATCTGGTGTGCAAAAACAAGACCACTCTGATGCCGTTTCCGCACGTAACAAGCTTGCAAAATCCTTCCCCTGGGAGAGCCACAATCATAAAGCCTACTTGGCCTAGCTGCCTAGCTTGTGATCTTATCGCGTGACACTGTGCAACTGGCTGCAATTGGGTGAAACTGAAATTGGACTGCACCTCTTCACGCATGTAGCTTGAGGACCACTGCCTGGAATCAATGCCAATTGCAAACACCAATAGAGCTCAATAGATTCTGTGAGTTTTACAGAGAGTGCAGACAGTGCACTCTGGCTCGAGGATGGACAGAATCTTTGCTGCCTGCCACCACTGGGAGATGCAGAAAGCACAGTGTCGGGAAGTGACAGACGTATTCGGGAAGTGATGTCAAGACTGAAAAAATAGAAAAAACTTCCACCTCCATCGAATGTAGCCCGTCAGGTTCAGCAGGCAAACCAACCTGCAGGCGCAGTGCTGCCAAGAATATGGCATGCCGTGCATGCTGCAATGCATGCTGCAATGCATGCTGCAATGCATGCTGCGTGCTCACTGCAACATTTGTTTGTCTTCGTTGAATCATGTCGAGTGTACAGTATGAGTCAGTATGAGTCAGTATGCAGTGTCGCAGCTGTGACCTGGCAGCAAAAACCCAGCATTTTTGTGTTTTACAGGTTTAATCAGGTTTACATGTCTGCTTTTTGGTCGCTTCTTTGGCTTCCTGAGACGAAACTGAGCCGCAACTTTAGCTCTTGGAGCTTCACGTGTCAAAACCATCTAGGTCCATGCAGCTGCTAATAAGGGCAATCTGCTCAAGCATGATGTTTGCAGCAGCCATCGATGTTATACCTGAGGACAAGAGCAACAAGAGTGCAAGGAGTCACAAGTGCAAATTGAGTGCGACATGAGTTGAGAATTTGGGAAACCACGCCTGCATGATCATAAGCAGGTGCCACTTCAACAACATCCGCAGCAACGATTGGTAGACCTTTCAAACCTGGCGCAAAAAGGAAAGAATCAGAAGCCAGCGGCTACGACTCACTGAATAACCTTTGAGGACCGATGTTACACTGCAGAATTCAAGTCAAAAAAATGTCAAGAGTCAGGTCAAAAGAATTCAACGGGAGCTGCCTCTGATGAATTGGAGGAGTTGATGTGCGAGCAGCCCACCATATTCTGGTGTTCCTGTCCCTGCAAAGCTGCTCACGTAACAAGTTTGTGATTGCTCCAAAAAATCCAAGATAATCCAAGAAGAAACAATCAAGAAACCTTAGAAAAAAATAATCAGAGCCAGAGTTTGATGTCCTGGGGCGATGGAGGGGTCCAAGACATCGATGTCAATCGAGAGATAAACTGGTGCTCCTGCATGAGAACGGAGCGAACGTCAAGCCAAATGACAAAATATTACAAAGCTGGTACAAGGGGAACACCAGCAGGTCCAATAACCTCATTTCACAACCACTTTCCCTCAAAAAACAGGAAGCGGAGTCGATCTCCCGTTATGTCTCCTCCAGACTTTTCCCAGCGTCTTCGGACAACATCAACACAGGCTGGCACACCGCTTTCATGAACATCCTGCCATCAAAAAGCAGGACTCCTAAGCTCAAAATCAAAATCTCATAGCATCGACTCTCATGTCTACATTCTTGATCCCATCAAGTCTTGCATTTACTTCTCCAGCCCCTAGAGTCCTCAGCTGTCAGTGTTGCAATGCCCATCGCATCGGAATCGTGGAAGTCTTCCGCAGAGTATGTGGTCGCTCGAATCCCAATGTGTGTTGATCCTTCCTTTGACAGCAGGCCCTGCAGAGAAAGGTGAAGACATGAGAACTTGAACACATCCCGATGCATCGCAATTTCTAATGAGAAATGAAAGGAAAAGAACCTCCCAGAGCCTACTGCACAAGTGACTCTGCTCCAGAAAACAGCGCAATGAACAGCCCAGCCTCTTCCCAGCAGTTCCGGAATGGTGCTCCATGCCAAACATCCTGCAGCCCAAGTCTTCATGTGAAAAGGGTTGCAAAGGGTTGAAATCTTACAAAATCCCGAATTGTTGATCTTGTTGGCCGCCAACAGCTTGTGCAACAGTTTGTGCAACAGCTTGTTTTCTTCACCTGCCCCCGAGCCTGGCCCCACAATGCCGGGAAAGTGTCCAAGTGGGAATCAAAATGTACCAGCACAACAGGTCCAAATTTTTCAGCGACTGCTTTGATCGATGGATAACTTAGGGTATGATCTCCTCCAAATACCAACAGGCGTCTGGATATCTGAAGTCTTTCTTTGCAGCCATCGTAGATTTGTTGAATTGCCTGCTGGATGTTAAAAGGTGTTGCGAAAACATCGCCGGTATCCACCACCTGCCGCTCTTGTAAAGGTCGTTGCTGCTGGGCGATCAGAAAAGGTCGTGTCAGCCGGGAGTTGCTCCTGATCGCTTCAGGTCCAAATCTTGCACCTGGCCTGTAGCTACAACCGGAGTCAAACGGCACCCCGACCAAAGCAATGTCAAACTTCCGAAAATGTTTCTTCAATTTAACATCCACTTCCAAAGCATTGTCAGCATTGTCCTGATCGACAAACACATGCCGATGCCAGGAATTCTGCGGTAAGGTCCACAGAGCGAGTGCTTGAAACCTTTTTCCGGCCATGTCTACTTTCAAGCTGCCGTCCTCTGGTAGAACAGGCAGTGACACTTCACCTTGGATCTCACACAACGGATGTGTCCTTTCACCCAATCGAATTTCAGCATTGGGTTCAACAGCCCCGGCATTTACAAGACGAAGTAGAAGAACGGCCTCTGAACTGGCTTGTAGTGTCTGAATTTCGTGGAGCTGTGGCAATCTGGCAAAAGTTGCAATGCCTGCGAACCTTGGAAGTCCTGATATGGCCACAGGGCCGTAGGGACCGTTGGGCAATCTCATCCTCGCGATACCTCCAACTTCTTCTGTCACCAACTCTTGTTGCCTTTCTGGAGATGGTCTGGGCAAAGCCTTGTCGCCTGCACAAACAAGTGGATTAAGCGGATTGAGCGGATTGAGCTGTCCCAAAGTGCGCGTGCCCGCTTTATGTTTCCACTGCGGAGGAATAGCTCGCGGCTGTGCTTGTATGGCCGCCGGCGTCCAGTCGAACTCATCTTCTCTCCCGGCCCAGCGCAAACAAGGGTAGCAGTTGCAAACGTAGCGCCACTTGTCAGAACACTGACACCCATATCGAGGTTTAGAAACAGGATTGTGGCCAGCATCCATCAAATGCACCCAGAGTGGTTCCTCTGTTTGTCCGTTGACGTGGCGAGCAACGACATCCAGGCGCCGCATGTTTCCGATGGCTGCACTTGACTGGCAAGCTAAGCGCACAAGGCAACAATACAATTTCAAAGTGCATTGCGCATACAGTGTATCAGTGAATTCATATTATAAATATGTGGTCAATGATATGGAAATTACCCCTGCCTAGATGTAGGGAAGAACATGCGGTAAAGTCACTTTGTTTCAGAGGTATCAAAGCAGCATGATCTGATGCTGAGAGCACATTCTCTTCATTTCAATTCTTCTCCATGCTGCTTTAGGCAAGGAGGACGCGCTCTGAACTTACTCTGCACAAAAGAAGACTATAAAGATTAGTGTCAAGACACTAAGGCAGTGGTTTGACACTTAGGCCCATCAGATAGCAACACAACGGGCACAGCAACAGAAGACTCAAAAGACCTCCTGCTTTGTTCTGAGAACCACTTCTTCATTGGCGCCAGGTAGCCACGGGCCAGAGTGGTCCTGTACTCCAACAAGTGCACAGTGAAACAGCGGAATGAAATGGAATGAAGTGAATGAAGGTCCATGAAGGTCCATGAAGGTGAGGCTTTGCAAGTCAATTGTTCTTACGGTGTTGGCACCTGTTCAGCTTGCAGTTGAGCCACTCTCTCAGGACCTCAACCCGGAACCCAATGCCATGCATCGGTGTTCATGCAGGAAAGTTTACGCATGGAACCCCGCAACATCAGACGAGTTGAGTGAGAGTAGATCAAGCACGGATTTGGTCCGGATTTGGTTTCGAAGACCTGCAAGAAAATACAATACACAAATATAACTACTTTCCTCGGGTGATCCCCACCAACTGACATTCTGACATAAATGTTCTGACATTCTATCTGACATATATTTCGGCATTAATTCTATCTGACATATTCCGACGTTCTATCTGGCATTATATCTAGCATTCTATCTGACATAATTTTTTCCACGAGCACAATGGGCTCCCAACAGCTCTCACGCATATCCGTTGCCAGGGCATTTGCCGGGTGGAGTTAAATAAATTAAATTAAAAAAAATGAAGCCCACGAACCCGAATGCTCACACGTATGTTAATGGTACAGATGTCAAAACACATGGTTATGCAGTCACGCACAATACCTTTCTGCAATAGTTTATTTGAACCGTCTTGTACATGTTTCCCTTGTTACCAGTCTGCAGTGTGGACTGGAAAGTGTAGAGTGTGGAGTGTGGAGTGTAAAATGTAAAGTGTGGAGCGTAGAGTGTAGAGTGTAGAGTGTGGAGTGTAGAGTGTACAGTGTAGAGTGTAAAGTGTAGAGTGTGGAGTGTAGAGTGTAAAGTGACGAGTGTAAAGTGTGGCGTGAGGAGTGTAAAGTGTAGAGTGTGGAGTGAGGAGTGTAAAGTGCAAAGTGTGGAGTGTGGAGTGTAAAGTGAGGAGTGTAAATTGTGGAGTCAGGAGTGTGGAGTGTAGAGTGAGGAGTGTAAAGTGTGGAGTGAGGAGTGTGGAGTTTGTAAATTGTAGAGTGTGGAGTGTGAAGTAAGGAGTGTGGAGTGTTAAGTGTGGGGAGTGTAGAGTGTGTAAAGTGTAGAATGCGGAGTATAAAGTGTAGAGTGTGGAGTATGGAGTGTAAAGTGTCGAGTGTGGAGTGTAGAGTGTGGAGTGTAGAGTGTAGCATGTGGAGTGTGGAGTGGAAAGTGTAGAGTGTGGTGTGTAGAGTGTGGAGTGCGGAGTGTAAAGTGTGGAGTGTGGAGTGTAAAGTGTAGAGTGTGGAGTGTAAAGTGCGGAGTGTAGTGAGGAGTGTAAAGTGGAAAGCATGGAGTGTAAAGTGTAAAGTGTGGAGTGTAGAGTGTATAGTGTAGAGTGTAAAGTGTACAGCGTGGAGCGTGGAGTGTAAAGTGTGGAGTGTAAAGTGTGGAGTGTCAAGTGTAGAGTGTGGAGTGTAAAGTGTGGAGTGAGGAGTGTAAAGTGTGGAGTGTGGAGTGTAAAGTGTGGAGTGTGCAGTGTGGAGTGGAAAGTGTGGAGTGTGAAGTGTGGAGTGTAAAGTAAGGAGTGTGGAGTGTAAAGTAAGGAGTGTGGAGTGTAAAGTGTGGAGTGTAGAGTGAGGAGTGTAAAGTGTGGAGTGTGGAGTGTGGAGTGTAAAGTAAGGAGTGTGGAGTGTAAAGTAAGGAGTGTGGAGTGTAAAGTGTGGAGTGTAAAGTGTGGAGTGTGGAGCGTAAAGTGTAGAGTGTGGAGTCTGGAGTGGAAAGTGTAGAGTGTGGTGTGTAGAGTGTGGAGCGTGGAGTGTAAAGTGAGGAATGTAAAATGTAAAGTGTGGAGCGTAGAGTGTAAAGTGTAGAGTGTGGAGTGTGGAGTGTAGAGTGTAAAGTGTAGAGTGTAAAGTGTAGTGTGTGGAGTGTAGAGTGTAAAGTGACGAGTGTAAAGTGTGGAGTGAGGAGTGTAAAGTGTGGAGTGCACTTGGGCAATCAGCAGTGTGATCAGTTTCCAACGCGTGAACATGTGTGGACTCAATGTTTTTTCATTGATTTTTTCCAGGGAATATTGATAAGAATGAAATCCATTTGAGCATACTTGTGGAATTCAAAAGGTCGTTCCCAATGTCTGGTTCCTACCCATCGGTAAGTTACCAGCTGTTCGTCATCTTGGTCAAAGAATGCATTCCTGACAAAACCTTGTTCAAGGCAGAACTCGATCATGTGAGACCTGTTGTCAAATTGAGCATCACTCGAGAAATCGATTTCGTGGGTGCTGGCTCCAAAAACAAAAGGACCTACAATGGATGTTTCAGCGGGCAAAGCTTTGATAAGACGAGCATTGAAGTCACCACATATATAATTTTGGGGGAGTAGGCATATCTTCCTTGGAGAATTGTGCAAAGCTCTTCATAATGTCTATCCGAGCTATGGGGGTCAGCATGACAAGCTTGTGGGGCGGCATAAGTTGAAACAATATCTAGAGGACCTGCCTGCATGCTAAGAGTTAGAACGATATTTCTTGCACTAATGGGTTGCATTGATTCCAAGCGACAGTGCGCCTGCTTAGAAAGCACGATACACTCCCACATGTTCTCGTGCCTTCTGAAAAATGTTACAATGTTCTGGATTGCGCATGGATGCCCGTCCCAATCGGGCTAAGACTTCTGCTCCAGCTCGGTCGGTGGCTTTCACGTCACTAGACCAATCCATGGTGTGGTCCTGGTGGATTTCCTTGGAATTACTGTTGATTTTTTTCTTGAAGACATAAGATATCAGTTTGATGCTTAATCATGAGATGTACCAACCTTTCCCGTTTTGAGATTGAGGCTAGACCCCTACAGCTAAGAGAAACAATTCTAAAATCTCTTAAATGTTTGGGCATCAAAAGATTATCTTGAAAAAATGACGGAGGGAAAGTGCCATTGTCCATGGAGTCATCGTCTTTGTGAAAAAACTGATATTCATCTGGCATTCTATATAATTCATATAATTCGGCATTCAATTTTGACATTCTATCAGGCATTCTTTCTGGTATCTATTGCTAGGGTTCGGGCGCGTGCGTGCCCAAACTGAGCTGGAGCTCCCGACAGGGTTCGGGTCCGTCGGAGCCCAGACTACCGTGGAGCTTGCGAGAGGTCTCCGGTGTGCCCAAACTGCTGTGGAGCTCGCCGTGAGCTTCTGGAGCAAGTTTGCTTCACCGCTAGTTGGCACTTGCTGCGAGATCTGGGTCCGTTGGTGCCCACAGTGCAAGGCGAGGGAATGAGAAGCAGCGAAAGCGTGAGCGGCTGAGGGAAGGAGTTACACCTTTTTAAAATTTAGAGACCCTCACCTGGCAGGTGGGGAACAAATGAACAGCCCGCAATCCGCAGATTTCAAACTCAGATTGGTCATTTCAAACCGTTCAGATTGGCACACAAAAACACGCAAACAGCCTCTTAGAAAACGGCAAGGCCCGGCAAGGCCCGGCGGCAAACAGGCTGAGAATCACGCCTGGACAAGTGGCCTGGAGTCACAAAGACATCAATTGGTAGCGTTTTCCCAACAAAAAAGCCATGCACATTACTCCCAGCTTTCCAACCCAGCTTTGCAACCCGGGACCAAGGAAAAAAAATGTTTTGTATCTGTATCATTCTGTATCTGTATCAGGTTATTGTACTCTTTCAATCTCAAGTTGAGACGATTTCTTCATAGCAATCTTAATCTTGGACCTGATGCGGGCCGGATGGGAATCTGATAGGACCTTCTCTGAACCTTGCAGAAACCTTCCTTCTAAACCTGATACGTACTTGATCGGACGCTGATCGGAATTAGCCCAGCTAATTAACCCAGCTTTCCAACCCGGCAGCAGCATGTGAAAGGTCCAGGGAGGATTCCATTTTGGCTTTCTGCACGGCAAGCAAACGATGCAGCAGTCCCAGACCCAGAGATTGCTGAAACGATACTGATGTGGGAACTTGATTGGAGCATCATCGGAACCCGATTAAAAAAAAAAATCTTTGAAAACCCTTCTTTGAACTTTTTGAACCTTCTGCGGGAAACTCCGGCACTTCGTCATATTTCGTCTAGAGTTGCGGAAGCTCTATATGTAATTGTCGAGCCAACTCGTTCATCAACTACTGGTTTACATAGATTATGCCAAAGACTTGTCGCTGCTTGCGTCACTTGGTCATTCATGTGGCTAACCTTCTCTCTTCCGTGCATCCATATCTTGGAAACTTCTCGTTCGAGTGATTCGGTGCTGTGTTGCACATAGCGGAGGATGTGTTCCATGCAAATCCTGTCCAAGAAGGACTCCACCTTCACCAAGGGTGCGACCTCTGGATGGCACCAGCCTGCAGGAAGGCAGAAAGAGAAGAGTTTGGAATCGTAGTGTCAAGGAAAGCTTCCAAGTCTGATGCAAACATATATAAATATACAAACACTATCTACAAGCAGCCAAGCACCTTTCTCACAAATCGCGTCTTGATGTGCATTTACCACAGTATGCTTCAATTGCAAGTTGCACTCAAAGCGCACTAACTCCCAGTGCTTAAACAGAAATCAGCTTTGAACATTTTGGATTGTTCCGGATTGTTCCCGTTTCCAATTCCGGACCTGGAAGAAAATCACCAGACTCCCTCCAGGATGGCAAACGGCCTAGGGAAAACCGCTTGACCCAAAGAAATGAAAACGAAAAGACTAGAATTCCAAAATGCAAAGATGTCAAATAGACAAACAACAAAAGAAAAGAATGCTGCATGAATGCTCAACAAAAAGTCCAAAGGCTTGAGCCGGGATCCATAACAGCTGTGGCTTGCAACATGACCTGCACATGTCAACTGGGCAAAGCCCGTATCAGTCGTATCACAAGCACAACGTAGCACAGCGAGCACAGATAAATTAAGGATATAAAAGGGCAGCAGAGACAAGCGCAGCCTCTGCCAGCTCATTTCCATCTCCATCAAGTCCCTGAAATGGGTAGCCCAATAGAATTCTATCAAAATTTTATGCGATTCCGATCTTTTCATCAAATGGTCATTTTGCAGTGCAAAAGTATTTGCCGTGTCTGCCCTTTTCAGTATCATCACATGTCTGCTTGTTCACACTATAGTAGTTGCTTTTCGGAGGACACAAATTGAAACAAAATGTGAAACGAGATGTGGGACCTCCTAGGACGAGATGTGAAAGGAAATGATCAAGCTCATCCGAAAATCATCCAGTTATATCAGTTATCAAAATTTCATCCTGCTCTTGTTCAGCTTGTTCCCCAGGGAAGCTATTGGGGTTCTTACTTCAAGTAGAGGATGAGTTGCGTAGCGTTTTGGAGCGGTGATGTTGGTGGGTGCTGGCACCGTTCCAGGGCGTCGCTGTGGAACTTGGGTGGTGCCGTTGCAGGTCGCTGCGAGATGTCTATGGCAGTGTGGGGCGTTGGGGACGGGGCGTTGTCAAAAAGGGAGAGTGTTTGGTTGCCCAGAAATATGTTTTGCTATCTGGGGTTTATGCTGGCGTAATTTTTTCGGTCACTGGTTCAGTCACTCGGCTTGCGGCTCCCAGCGAGGGAAGTCTACCGCAGCTGCGCCATCGGCACAGGCAACAGCATCGCATGCACCTGCCACAAGCACATCCAAGAAATATGAAGAAATTGTAGAAACATGAAGAGACATGCAGAAACTTGTATAAAAACATGTAGATACTCAGATGGATACATGCTATCAGAAAGCAAAATTAAGTAGAAAAGGCAGCCTCCACCCACATGAGTCTCCGAACTGTGCATGACTAATCTATGTCTAAAATGTCTAAAAATGCATTCCATGTATTCCATTTCAGACCTTCCCTGCGTGCCTCCTTCCGAACCTGCAGCATTGATCCATGGACGTCACATGGACGTCACTGACGTCGTGCTTTTAACATTGACGCGGCGACGCGCATTGAGGGCTGAAGACCTTCTTGTCAGTGTCACTTTCGAGCTGAAGTCGAGAGCCAAACATTGGACAAGGAAAGTCCTAAAATATATACTCTCGGGATAGTAACATACATATGTATATATATATAATTATAATTATAATTATATATATTTTATGTATACACGTATGTCTTTCTTGTGAGAAGACAAGTTGAAATGGCTAATGCACAGCTTAAAAGGACAAGTTGAACCCACACGCTGCTGCTGCGGCCAACATCTTGCATGCTCAGAGCAAAGTCGTACAGATCGTCCAGTCATGTGTGAGTCACAACTGGTGCAGGCAACCATCCTCATGCAATGATGCGCTTCGAAATCCATGCCTGTTGTCACTGCTGTCCGCTGTCCAAAGCGAAATTCAGGTGAAACCGATCTTTTTGGAACCTGATGGTGCCTAAGTCCAACCAATTGCTTTGACTCAAATCATTCCAATGTGGATGTGGGCTAAGTCTGAAGAAACATGAATGCACCAGTCTAATTTCTATCGTTCTGACGCATGTGACTCGACACGGGCGTCCCACGTGCAACACTTTCAGTTGATGACATGGCATGTCCATGGACACTTTGGACACCTTGGACATGTTGGACATGTGAACCGAGCTGGACGTGTCCATGTCCGCCATGGCCATGTTCACCGTGTCCACTTTCATTGCGGGTTTTTCCCCAGGATGGGTGCGGGACATGCGCGACATGCGCAACACCATGGCCTTCGGCCTGGCCTGAGTCATGACTTGCTGTTTCGTGCGGGTGCCCTGAGGCATAGCGCCTCAACGCGCGATTTGAACTCTTGACATCTCCCGACATATCCTGTCAACCACAATGTCGGGCATCAATTCAATCAGCCACAATTTTGATGCTTGATGTTTGAACCTGAGTGAACTAAGTTTTCCGCACTGCGTGGTGGCCTTTAAACATCGCTGCAGTAGTGCACAAGATTGGCATCCTTGCCTTTGCCCTTTGCTTTTGGGCAGTTTCCAAATGATAAAGTTTCAGTTATCCCCACCTGCTTTTGGAGCTGTGTGCAGAACGGACCGCACACGATCTAAAGCTGACTCGTGTGGTGCCTGTCAAAATGCGCCCAAAAACATGCGAGGTCCATGATTGTCCCATGTCAGAAAACCCACCTCACAAGATTGCACTACTGCATATTGCTGCTACAGTTTCTACAACAACGAACACTACAGGAATCCTTGTCCAGAATGGCTGAGTGGCTTACCTGCATAGCTGCCAGGCTTTCAGACAAAGAGGTGATGCCGCCCAAGGAAATAGGAGGAGGTTCGCTGCTCGTGATGGGGTTCGGTTTGCCTGCAAAAACAAAGTTGTAAATTCGTTTTGTATGCCTTTACGAGCATTGAATGTTTCAAAAACACGACGCAAAAATTGTTACTGAATCCTGCTTGGCATTACGTGCTGACATTTGGTCATGCTGGAGTTTACATGTAGGTTTTGGCGGGTTCAATTTTTTTCTTTTTATTGCACATGTATTGCACTTGGCTCCATAGGCCAGCCTCCGCCCAAATATGTCGAATATGTTTCTGCCAATGCACCGGTGTAGCCTGAGTCGTGACATGGAACTGATTTGAATGCACACCGGCAAAAACATCTTGAGTGCCAAACTTCGGATAGGAGGATATCCCATGTCAATGCTCCTGAGCATACTGCCACAACAACTCAAACATGTGATTTTTCATCAGTACACTGACCATGCCAAGCAGCTGTGAAACCCTTGATGCGGTGGATACGTTCCGGGCCTTCCACGTTAACCAGCAGTTGGAACCAATTTTCAAATGCCAACCCGGCCAACCATATTCAAATTTAATTTCACAAGATCCGGGCAGCATTGAAGTCTGCTCGGCTACTTCCCTGCACCACAAGTGCGGTATTTGGAGCAACATTTCCAGAATTTTCGTTGGGCCGACATTTTAGACATATAAATTGTTTCAACCAATCAGTCACCAACTTCCAACTCCCACATATAGAGACAGCAAATCATTTGCAAGGTGCACAGATACATTCACAAACAGCGCTCAACACAAAGAAACAAACATAAATAAACCATCTCAACGGAATCTCAACGAATTTGCCCTTGCCTGCAAGTACATGCGCTCTGGACCAGATGATTTTGTTACGCTCAAATTTTGTTGTTTTGGCATGATCAAGCACTTGCAATCCTACAACATGCAACATGATCAAAAGCAAAACTATTTGAAGTTGCAAACAACATGCCACACAAATGTCGGAACAAAATTGATTCATCCAATGTTTGTTGGTTGGCATTTGACCAACCTGGGCCAACCTCTTCCACAAACTGACACACACCATGTATGCAAACACAAAAGCATTCAATGACAACATGTGCTAATTACGTATTTTTTTGCACAAACATTCAGACAAATGCGGATTTTTTTGTCCCAATGCGTTATTGCAGTCGAAATGCATGTTGCCAATGGCCAGCGTGAAACAACCGATGAATGACAAATACGTGAAAAGGCGTCTGCCAACCACATGGCGCACATGGCGGAAGGGGTCAAATTTGCACGAATTTTGGTGCGTTACATACTGTACGAGCAATTTTGCCCTGAATTTGAACCTGCAAAATGTCATTTTTCACTATTTTATCTTCACACCCACTTTACAAACGGAGAAGAACAACAAGCCGGCACTATCTATCTATCTATCTATCTATCTAATCTATCTATCTATCTACCATACTATACTTATTTTCTATGCGATCAACATTTCCGAACATGACAGGGAACGCTGTTTATATGATGCGTGTTCGGTTGCGAGATAGATAGATAGATACATAGATAGATAGATAGATAGATGGATAGATAGATAGATAGATAGACAGATAGATACATACATAAATAAATACACGCATACATACACACATACATGCATGCATACATACATACATACATACATTACAAACATAACATACATACATACATACATACATACGTACGTACGTACGTACATACATACATACATACATCCAAGCATGCATGCATGCATGCATGCATGCATGCATACATACATACATTGCATACATTACATACATTACATACATTCCATACATACATACATACATACATACATACGTACATACATACATACATACATTCCATACATACATACATACATACATACATACATACATTACATAAATACATACATACTTACTTACATGCATACATACATACATACAGACATACAGACATACAGACATACAGACATACATACATACCATTACATTACATTATATTCCATTGCATTACATTACATTACATACATACATACATACTTACATTGCATTACATTACATTACGTTACGTTGCGTTACGTTACATCACATTACATTACATTACATACACACACATACATACATACATGCATGCATGCATGCATACATACATACATCATACTGACGGACACAGAGTTAGAACCTCAGAAATTTTCCCACATTTTCTCGACTCACAGTTAGAACCTCAAAAATCCTCCACAGTTAAAACCTTTCTTTGGCAAAAGGTTCTAATTCAGGGAGTAACACCAACCAACTATGAGGGCCGCATCATTTTCCTGCAGACATCACATCTATTGTCATTTCAACTTGGCCGCTCTGTTGCAGCAATGCTTGCAAACTCTAATCGCCATTCACTTTGGACGAAATGCTCAGTGAGAGATTCAAAAAAATGGAGAAAATCAAATTATATGTCCTAAACTAAATTTAACACACACACACACACTTGCTCAGAAACATCTTATCGAATTACTGATGTGGAATGCATCGTACGTGCAAAAAACACTTCAGTTAAACCTGCCAGGAGAAATTGGATGACCCACCGTGAAATTCAGTGAGAAGTATGCTTTCTACGTCCTTGTTCTGAGGAAAGTTCAGAAGCGACTGAACCAATCGTAAAAATAATTCCAGATTGCGACAACAGTGCAGCAAATTGAAGGTTTTAAATGGTCGACGTGCCGGTTCTTGGCTTGGCCGGTCGCCAGTTCGGAAGATGGAAAAATGCAGGTACGTTTTCACGTCCTACTTCCAAGGTCTTCGTTGGCTCTGGCTTGGAAGTAGGACCCAGAGCCCCCTGCTCTAAAATGAAATTGACGTATCAGCAAGACAAACAAACACCTAATTAGTGGCAAAATCGACATCATCAGGTAGAAGGTTTACATCTTTTCAGATGGTCCACACGCACGCCTCGCTGCCGCGAGGCTATTTTTTGGCAACTGCGGAATGGTTCGCGAAGCTCTTATCTGGGCCCTGAAGCAGGATACAGCGATTGACGCAAAATCAAAAAACAGGGATGAAATCTGCATTTGAATTAGCCAGATGGCCCAGAACAACATCGGTCGTAGGCCGTAGGTCGTCGGTCGGAGGTCGTAGGTCATGGGTCGTGGGTCGTAGGTCGTAGGTGGTAGGTCGTAGGTCGTAGGTCGTAGGTCATAGGTGGTAGGTCGTTGATCGTAGGTTGTAAGTCGTAAGTTGTTGGCTGATTGACTGAGTGGCTGAGTGGCTGACTGGCTGAGTAGCTGAGTGACTGAGTGGCTGAGTGGCTGAGTGGCTGAATGACTGAGTGGCTGAGTGGCTTAGTGGCTGAGTGGCTGAGTGGCTGAGTGGCTGAGTGGCTGAGTGGCTGAGTGACTGAGTGGCTGAGTGGTGGAGTGGCTGAATGGCTTAGTGGCTGAGTGACTGAGTGGCTGAGTGGCTGAGTGGCTGAATAGCTGAGTGGCTGAGTGGCTGAGTGGCTTAGTGACTGAGTGGCTGAGTGGCTGAGTGACTGAGGGACTGAGTGGCTGAATGGCTGAGTGGCTGAGATAAGTGAGTGGCTGAATGAGTGAGTGACCGCGTGGTTGGGTGACTGATTGAATGTCTGAGTGGCTGAGTGGCTGAGTGGCTGAGTAGCTGAGTGGCTGAGTGGCTGAGTGGCTGAATGACCTGAGTGGCTGAGTGGCTTAGGGGCTGAGTGGCTGAGTGGCTGAGTGGCTGAGTGGCTGAGTGGCTGATTGACTGAGTGGCTGAGTGGCTGAGCGGCTGAGTAGCTGAGTGACTGAGTGGCTGAGTGGCTGAGTGGCTGAATGACTGAGTGGCTGAGTGGCTTAGGGGCTGAGTGGCTGAGTGGCTGGGTGACTGAGTGGCTGAGTGGTGGAGTGGCTGAATGGCTTAGTGGCTGATTGGCTGAATAGCTGAGTGGCTGAGTGGCTGAGTGGCTGAGTGACTGAGTGGCTGAGTGGCTGAGTGACTGAGGGATTGAGGGGCTGAATGGCTGAGTGGCTGAGTGACTGAATGGCTGAGTGATAAGTGAGTGGCTGAATGAGTGAGTGACTGCGTGGTTGGGTGACTGATTGAATGTCTGAGTGGCTGAGTGGCTGAGTGGCTGAGTAGCTGAGTGGCTGAGTGGCTGAGTGGCTAAGTGGCTGACTGAGTGGCTGACTGAGTGGCTGAATAACTGAGTGACTGAGTGGCTGAGTGGCTGAGTGGCTGAGTGGCTGAGTGGTTGAGTGGCTGAGTGGCTGAGTGGCTGAGTGGCTGAGTAGCCGAGTGACTGAGTGGCTGAGTGGCGGAGTGGCGGAGTGGCTGATTAGCTGAGTGATTGAGTGGTTGGGTGACTGAATGACTGAATGACTGAGTGGCTGAGTGACTGAGTGGCTGAGTGGCTGAGTAGTAGTCGTAAGTTGTAGGTCGTAGGTCAGAGGTGGTAGGTCGTTGGGCGTAGGTTGTAGGTCGTAAGTTTTTGGCTGATTGACTGAGTGGCTGAGTGACTGAGTGGCTGAGTGACTGAGTGGCTGAGTGGCTAAGTGGCTGAATGACTGAGTGGCTGAGTGGCTGAGTGGCTGGAGTGGCTTGAATAACTTTAAAAAAATGAGTGACTGAGGGACTGAGGGGCTGAATGGCTGAGTGGCTGAGTGACTGAATGGCTGAGTGACTAAGTGGGTGGCTGAGTGACTGAGTGACTGCGTGATTGGGTTACTGATTGAATGTCTGAGTGGCTGAGTGACTGAGTGGCTGAATGACCGAGTGGGACTGAATGACTGAGTGGGGCAGAATGGCTGAGTGGCTGAGTGACTGAGTGGCTGGGTGGCTGAGTAGTAGTCGTAAGTTGTAGGTCGTAGGCCGTAGGTTTTAGGGCGTAGGTCGTAAGTCGTATGTCGTAGGCCGTAGGTCGTCGGTTGGAGGTCGTAGGTCATGGGTCGTAGGTCGTAAGTTGTAGGTCGAGGTCGTAGGTCGAAGGTCGTAGGCCGTAGGTCGTAGGTCGTAGGCCGTAGGTCGACGGTCGGAGGTCGAATGTCATAGGTCGTAGGTCGTAGGTGGTAGGTCGAAGGTCGTAGGTCGTAGGTCGTAGGTCATTGGTCGTAGGTCGTTGGTCGTAGGTCGTAGGTCGTAGGTCGTAAGTTGTTGGCTAATTGACTGAGTGGCTGAGTGGCTGAGTGGTTGAGTAGCTGAGTGACTGGGTGGCTGAGTGGCTGGGTGGCTGAATGACTGAGTGGCTGAATGACTGAGTGGCTGAGTGGCTTAGTGGCTGAGCGGCTGAGTGGCTGAGTGGCTGAGTGGTGGGGTGGCTGAATGGCTTAGTGGCTGAGCTACTTCTAGTTCTTATTCATGTAGAAGTTCCTATTGAGAACCGTCCATCAGTAAGTCGGAATACAAAAGAAAGAAAGAGTGTACTGTACATGGAATATAGGAAGACAAGCAAATTTAAAGTTTAGACCAGGCATTGGCTCACCCTTCCACAATGCTAAGCACAGAACATTGCAGAAGTGACATTCGCTGCCACGTTCGATAGTGCGGTTTCCATCCTGACAGCGATGCACTGGTGAGATGTCAACAAAAGTAGCAGGGGTTCCAAACCTATTATGACCCTGGGATTTTGTTCAACCTGAAATCCAAAAAGAGAGGTTGGAAACCCCATTTAAGGAAGATTTCTTCGTAAGCAGTTGTGAATTACAATCAGCTCCGAATCTCTACTTCTCTCAAGTGCTAGAAACTAGCCCTGTTCCCAACCCAAAAGGATGGAAAAAAATGAAGCCAGCAAAATTGAAACAATAAGTTGAAGCCTGATTGATCTCCGTTCCAAATTTCCCGTTCCCAAAACGGAAGCCCAAACATTGGGTTTCGATATTTGTTTGATAT